TCCCAATGTGACCGCATGTGATCATATAAACGGTGCGCTGAGAATACATCTGTATTGCTTAGTGAGTTTTTTTCTACTGTGGGTAACTCAAAGTACTTGAGACAATATGGGCAGAACAGCTGATTGGTGTTGTTGTGAGAGGTACTTAAATGTTGCATCAATTCGACATACCGAGAAGTGTGAAACGAGTGACATATGGAGCAAACATAAGGTGCATCACGAAAGACGTGCCGTTCGTATAGATGAACAGCGAATTTGAGTATGCTAGCGAAGCTCAATTCGCACGCTGGACAGACAAAAAGACCATTCAACAGAGTGGCCGGGCCATTGTCACGTAAGTGGGAATGTACACGTCGATGGTCACACATACTCTCACGTGTCTGGGGTGAGATGCATTCAGGGCAAAACTCGTATGGCCATAATGTGCCCAAATAGAGTTCATCGACCAGCAAATGTAGCGCAAGGTGTTGTAGCAATTTACTGTTTGAAAAATGCTGTGCACAAACAGGACAGACCACCAGGCCCTGGGAAGAGAGAAGTTCGAATTTTGGCTGCTCTGAGGTCGTAGCAGTTGTGCCAAAGTAATATGAAAGCCAAGGTACACGGACAGGCGAAGCAGGATGGAATCTAGACACGGCACGGGTTGTAGGAGGACTTTTGGAGCGCACGAGTGTTAAGCTACCTTGTAACTGTATGGGAACCGGAGCAGTAGTGGTCATGTAGATGGAAACCTAGTCCGCGTTTCAAGTCGCTTTGAATCCAGCCGCTCACCAACTGGAAGGAACAAAACAGGAAAAACAGTTATGCGGGAAGGTTCGGATGAGGATATGAGCCCTACAGATTACGTAAGCAGTTCGGGATTGCGTGTTTTAAGCAGAGTTTGCACAAAAGCAGAGTTCGGATCAAAGAACCCGTTAGGCTATGGCCTAAAAAGTGCCTTTTGCGTGGTCCTCCTATCGATATTACATGATTACCCAGTTTTCTTATGCCGTAGACATTCAACTTTCATCCCGTTCCATTGCGGCACTAACCAGTCTACTTTTCCGACCTCCTAGCATTCCACATTCCCAAAAACGGCCGAAATTGAACATTTTTCTACGATGGACACTGGCGACGATAGCGAGTACCCAACCAATGTGTGGCCACAGCATGAAGCATTTCCAGCCATTGTACCGGAGCCCGTAGTTTCCACGGTCACTGGGCTGCTATACATATAAGCTCACATTAACGTCGATGAACGGGACCAGGACGTATGCAGACTAATCTGTGATTAGGACACGAGTGACTTACGGGAGAACTGCATGATTCTATTCTGAACCTGACATCCGTCAAAAATATTCCGACAGACGAACGATTCGATTTGATCCGTGGTTCACCGCTCGGGCTACCTTTGATCTTGACGACAGCAATTGTATCTAGTCTATATGGCGTCCGAACTAGTGGGGTAACTTACGCTTGTGAACAACAGACGAACGGTTCGAGGTGAGTTTGCTATTGTCACATTTCAACCGCGTGACAGACTTTACAGCTAGTGTGTTGCATAGTAGTAGTCAAAAACGGGCATTCTAGGGAGGCTACCGGAGTTCAGAAAGCCAGGGAGTCTTAAAAACGGGTCAACCATAAAAACGATGTGTTCACTGGATGGAAATGAAAAACACATTGGAGGAGGATGGGTGTAGTGGGGAAAGATGAGGTAATCTTTGACCAAAGATTGCGATCGCAAATGTTGAACTCTAGTGAGCTTGTCAGTTTCCACGCTACCGGCTTTGAAGATCTTTAGGCTCATCACGCACCCGCACCATGACAAATAGACTATCTTCAGAAGCATCATCATCGACAGTAATACACCGATGAAAAATACTGGCTCCTTACAGCCATACAAATATGGGCAAAGAATGCAATAGTGAAAAGCGGAAGGAAATTAAGAGAGAGAAGCTCAATATTTTCACGGCAGATAATCAGGAACAAGGTATCCACGGCTTTAAACGGCAGTCAAACAGATAAACCTGATGATGATCACATCGAAGATGTCATCTGCAGGTTTGAACTGACGTGCCTTGTGAACCTTATTCAATGTAAACCCAGTACATAACACTCAAACATTAGTTAGGCAGTTTGTTGGTAGTATGAGAGGATCTGGGTTGGTTAGGTAGTCCGGCTAGGAGGTGAGGGTATGTTTGCCATCGGGACCGCTTACGTACCAGGCTCTGTAGGGATCCCATCCACGCTCAAGAAGAGATGGCGCAGAGTATACAGCACTCAGTCCAACTAATTTTTCGGAACCAGACTGTGGTTCGCTACAAGCGTAATGTCCGTCAACACAAGCCTGGAGCACATAATCGTACTTTTCGGTTTGTGGTGATTTCGTGTGTGCCACCTGGTAAACTTTATTAACTGATCTAACAATCCAGTGGCTGTTGAAGAGGCCGAAGCATGATCGATGCTATCCCTCACCGGAATGGTGTTCGTGAGTAGGTGCGAGAAGTTGAGTGTTTGGAGACAATGTTCCGCGATTGTTGCGGTATTCCATGCGCGACGCCCTCTTAAAGATGGTCGCCCAGTGAGAAAGAATATGCAGAAGACAGGAAGCCCGGGAGAGAATTCACAAGAAGAAAGTGGATGATGCGCGTATTCACCGCTCAGGGTGAAGTACCTACCATGGGAAAAGTAGATAAGGATACAGATAACCACTTTACTGAATTACTTGGCCCATTGTTCCATAAGGTCTGTGGTATTAGGATAGTCTCACCACTTTATTCCTTGATCATTCGACTGATTAAAACTGGGCCAGATGACCTTCTCCAAGCTCACTGGTACCGCAAGAACCATTCCAAGATTGAAGTAGATCCACGTGTTCAGCATTGACTAGACTGTTTGGAGTTAGTTGAAAGCGAGAATGCATTCCAGATAGTCAGGGCCAATAGGTTGTCGAGCCTTTATGATGTTCCACCCATAGATATATACTCTGTCGCAACATGGCCACTGGCTCCCACAAGCCATACGCATTTTCGCATCTAAGCTTGGGCACCCAGGGAATAAATCAACTCACATACAGGGAGTTGCGCAAGTAAGTGTACCTCCATGCCACATTGGTCGTCACGTGGTGACCACCGTGTAGTTTTGACGGCTGCACAGGACACGTCGGATAAGATCAGTGGGAGCTTGAGACAGCTCAGTGGTTAAGTCACAAGCTTACCGGCCGGAAGGTCCGTTGCTCGAACACAAACTCGACATATTGACTGCTCCTAGCTAGACTTGAGTAAATTGGTAGTATCTAGGCCCTCGAGCTTCTTTCGGGTGGTGTTGAACCTAGGCACCAAAAGAATGCTACAGCTGAACGATTATTACCGTAAGCGAAAATACACGAATCTTGATGTTTGCCTTTTCTTTCATATCCTCTCCCACCTCCATTTCCGTTCCTTTTGATAATTACTCTTCCGCAGAATTCAGCTGTGGACAAGTTGTCCAACACCCATGAGAAAGTAACCAAGTACATATTACAGCCTATTGATCAGACTACCGATCGTTTACCAAGCCCTTCCGAAACCATGACTTCTCAATGGGTTCCAAACCTTTTCCATTTAATTGAAGACCCCGTTTATATCGCAACTAATATTCGAACTTTTAAGCACACTAACCAACAAGGTGATCCTGCACCATTCATGACACTGTCAGTAGACGTTTGCAACATTTCTGATTCAATTTCTGGTTCAACGCCAACGCACTCACTGGGTATTTCAACTTACTCATTTTACCTCGTTGGGATTGTCCAACGCATGTGTCTTGCTCACATAACTCTAGTTCCGAAGGTCGCAAATTCGACTGCACCCGACCAATTGGGACCGATCTCCATGTCATCCATTCTTGTTCGATGTTGTCGCTGCTGGAGCAGTTGATTGAAACCAACCTCACTCCCTTTTGCACACCTACATCGTCCTGCTTCGTCCCTTTCCAGCGACTGCTCCTAACCTCAGCTTGGCGTGTGCTGATATCTGCAAAGTGTTCGCTATGATTTCGTATGACAATTATCAGATCTTCCGAGGCGTTTGGAGCACCGTCAGCCTGAGTTAGATACATTTCACAGTCCTGTGAGAATGCTGTAGCAGTTTTCCACAATCTCGACGTTCAATGCCACAAGGATGTGAGACAGAGATCCACTCCCCCCAATAATGTTCACAATGGATTGCCGATGTCTCAACTAGGATGCCAGTTACATGAAAACCTAGTGGATGGTTTTGCCTTCGCTGACGACTGAGTCGTGTAAACAGAAAGTCAGGCTCGCCTCAAAGAGAAGCTTGAAGCTGTTGCAGTCGAGTTGGAGAGAGCTGGTATGAAGATCAATTACTAAAGGAAGAAAGCCATAGTGATTTGTGGGCATAGAAAACATTGGGCGATAGCAGTCTCCGTCGAAACATTTTGCTTCGCCGAGGAACTCATCACTGATTTGGGACAGACGTTGTGACATATTTAGGCATCCCCTTTGCTTTCAAGGGTAAAAAAGTCTTCAACCACCGACAGCAGCTGCTCAAACTGCTCGATGGGCAGACGCGTGCCCCGTTGAAGCCGCATCAAAGAATGGAGATAATAAGGAACTATCTGATACCGAGGCTGACATATTCGCTTGTACTCGGCCAAGTCCACCGAGGTTGGATAATTACATCGGGCAATCTATTCGTGGCTAACTACGTTTACCGAAGGATACCCCAGTCAGCTACATACACGCCGGTAAACATCATGGGGGACTTGGTATCCCAAGTCTGATTGCAATTATCCCGATGCGCGGACAGCGCGTATGGAAAAGGTGCTGTCTATTCAATGCCGATTACTACGCAGTGTGCTCAACGATTCCGCACTTGGCAAGATTGTTCAGGAACTCAGTCTTAAGATCCGAGTTCATTCATAAACAATGAGGAAGAGCTGGTGGCTGCTTGGGGTGATGGTCTGCACAACAGCGTTGACAGTCGCGGTTTACGATAGTTGATCTCTTCAGCTCTTTCGAATCAATGGCTTGTATTTCCAGAGGGGGTGTTTTCTCGGCTATTTGCCGCGGCATCCAGCTCCGATGCAACCTGCTTGGGACGGGAGTTAGAGGCGCTCGGAGTGGTCATGATGGCCAGACGATCTGTCCTAGAAACTGTGGCAACCGGTGAGTGTGGTGCATAATTTGCAGTCCTGCTGGATCACGCATGATGCTAGATGTGCTCGCCATAATTGGGTTGCAAGGGAACTCGCGAAACATCTTCGGTTCATGAGATACACCGTCTTCGAAGAGCTGAGAGCACCTATGTCGACGTCTTTCATCAAGCCTGACCTAATCACTGTTTGGGAGCGCCGAGCAACTGTGATGGACAAAAACATAGGCTCGGATGGACACGGAGTTACTGTGTGGGATGTGAGGAAGCAGAAGTGTGGTGCTGATGAACATTCTTTCACCACAATCTCAGCCCTACATTTGACGTCGACTTTTTGGTCCATCAACCGATGGGCATTTTTGTTACATGAAAACCTAGTGGATGGTTTTGCCTTCGCTGACGACTGAGTCGTGTAAACAGAAAGTCAGGCTCGCCTCAAAGAGAAGCTTGAAGCTGTTGCAGTCGAGTTGGAGAGAGCTGGTATGAAGATCAATTACTAAAGGAAGAAAGCCATAGTGATTTGTGGGCATAGAAAACATTGGGCGATAGCAGTCTCCGTCGAAACATTTTGCTTCGCCGAGGAACTCATCACTGATTTGGGACAGACGTTGTGACATATTTAGGCATCCCCTTTGCTTTCAAGGGTAAAAAAGTCTTCAACCACCGACAGCAGCTGCTCAAACTGCTCGATGGGCAGACGCGTGCCCCGTTGAAGCCGCATCAAAGAATGGAGATAATAAGGAACTATCTGATACCGAGGCTGACATATTCGCTTGTACTCGGCCAAGTCCACCGAGGTTGGATAATTACATCGGGCAATCTATTCGTGGCTAACTACGTTTACCGAAGGATACCCCAGTCAGCTACATACACGCCGGTAAACATCATGGGGGACTTGGTATCCCAAGTCTGATTGCAATTATCCCGATGCGCGGACAGCGCGTATGGAAAAGGTGCTGTCTATTCAATGCCGATTACTACGCAGTGTGCTCAACGATTCCGCACTTGGCAAGATTGTTCAGGAACTCAGTCTTAAGATCCGAGTTCATTCATAAACAATGAGGAAGAGCTGGTGGCTGCTTGGGGTGATGGTCTGCACAACAGCGTTGACAGTCGCGGTTTACGATAGTTGATCTCTTCAGCTCTTTCGAATCAATGGCTTGTATTTCCAGAGGGGGTGTTTTCTCGGCTATTTGCCGCGGCATCCAGCTCCGATGCAACCTGCTTGGGACGGGAGTTAGAGGCGCTCGGAGTGGTCATGATGGCCAGACGATCTGTCCTAGAAACTGTGGCAACCGGTGAGTGTGGTGCATAATTTGCAGTCCTGCTGGATCACGCATGATGCTAGATGTGCTCGCCATAATTGGGTTGCAAGGGAACTCGCGAAACATCTTCGGTTCATGAGATACACCGTCTTCGAAGAGCTGAGAGCACCTACGTCGACGTCTTTCATCAAGCCTGACCTAATCACTGTTTGGGAGCGCCGAGCAACTGTGATGGACAAAAACATAGTCTCGGATGGACACGGAGTTACTGTGTGGGATGTGAGGAAGCAGAAGTGTGGTGCTGATGAACATTCTTTCACCACAATCTCAGCCCTACGTGTAACACATTTGACGTCGACTTTTTGGTCCATCAACCGATGGGCATTTTTATCGACGGATCTGCTTTCCTTAATCCGCCAAGGCTGTTGTTGAGCTGCTACTTTCTGAGATCACAGTCAGTGACTTGTGTTTGCTTGTCATTGTGGGTACTCTGCGTACTTAGGATACTTTGATGCGTGGTACATGGCGCTGTCTATTCCTGCCAGTGACTCTCACACGAGACACAGTATGACGGACAGTTTGTGGCTGATGTGCGAGTCCGAATGCGCTAACGCCTAATGCGCCTTGAAGAGCATTCAGCACTGTTTGTCCCACCTTCGGTTGAATGTCTTTACATGCGTGTTTCCATACCAAACTGTTCCACATACACTGGGATGCATCTTGTTTGACTGCAACTTTTGGTTGCACGACATCGAATGGGATGCTCCCCTCGTTCTTTCTAAAATTCTACTGTAACCCTTCCACATCTGTCGCTTGCATTTGTTTTTGACCATGCTCTTCAAAAATAAAAGATAATATGGTGGTAGTACTTTGTGATGATAGAAAAGCGGTTATTTGAAAGGATAGTAACCACCATATGTGATACCGATAACTCAGCGTATGGTATTTCCGAGCGCGCAAGTAGTAACCACTGGAGCTCTTACATCATCATACAAGACGTTGTATGAAGACAGGACTGCAGGATGATTCGGCTGAACTGTCTGTTACACGGCAACTCAAATGACGTTTGTGCGTGGATGGAGAGAGTTGGTGCAAATTGAAAAGCCCAATGGGAAAGGATAGTGCAGCAGGGAATATACGGGGTCTATTCCAGTTAGTTTGCAGAAGAGAACCCAAGAGGCCTATTGTCAGCAGTTTGGTTGGCCATTGGCCTCCGTTCCCCTTTCCTATTTAGTCTGCTGAGCTCAGGCCTCAGCGAATGGAGTACTACTATGCCTTTCTGACTTGAAACGCCAGCATACTGCCCGGCCAAATGAGCTTCTACCATCGCCTCTTAAAGCCGATGGTGCATCTTCGTTTTCTACCTTAACAAAATCGTGAAAACCTAGTTGGGAATCGGAACGCATTATGCGCAAATCGAGCTGATTGATTATCATACTGCCATCCAAAAAAGGTACGCGATCCGACTGTTACAACCATACAGATAGAAACCTTACGCCTGTCATAACTCACCACCGGTTTCAGCATTGACGAATAAACCCGGAAGGTGAAAGCAAACCTGACGGCCGAAAGCTGGGTTTCGCTCCGGTATTGAACACAGTTTCACACTACCTCAAATATTGGAGCAGCGCTCTACATATCGCCGGTCAATAATTGTGGCTTCCCTTGACTTCAAGGGAGCCTTTGACTCCATGAGTCTCAGTTCTTACGCGGATGCCAGCGAAGTCCATTCAAAGGACGTTAAACTCATCTCAAATGGGACAGTATTCGTAAAGGCTTTCAATCAACGCCTTTACGCCCCCTCCACTCCACAAACTAAAAGCACACGCACTCAAGATGAAATGAAAACAATCGTTCAGCTATAGCATCCTTTCGGTACACAGTCTGCGTAACTCAGAAGGAGCTTGAGAGTTAAGATATGGCCACGATGTCCAAGTCTAGACAGAAGCGAACGAAAGGTCACAGCTGGGTTTCAATCACGGTTCTG